GGCCTCGGCGAAGCTCTGGTGCACCGCGCTGCCGAAGTTGAAGACGGACGGACAGATTTGGTTGATCACGCGCAGCAGCTTGGTCTCCTTCCCGTACCTCTTCAAAGAGGCCACTGTTGTCCAACGACCCCGGCGCATGACTTGTTCTGGTGTTCGAATTCTGGCCGCCAGGTCCTCCGACGCCCCTCCGTGTCGAAGCTGATACGGATGTGGGTCGAATGGTCCTAACCCCAGACCCTCGGCCACTGCGATGAACACGTCCTTGTAACGCTCGCTGCTGAAACCCCACAGGCTCCCGTCTGGCAGGCTGGCCTGCTTCAGGCCGAGAAGGGGCTCCCACAACCACTGCTCGTCGATCGTCACAGCGTCGTCGAATGCCCCCGTCTTGCCGGGGATGCCGAGGGAGGTCTCGTGCAGCACTAAGCCCATCATGGTGTAGCCGGCACCTGCCACTGGGACCGCGGCGACGATGCTCTTGCCGAGGAGCGCCATCGCCTCGATAGGCCGCAGATAACAGACGTGTGATACCGCCACCATGATCGCCATCCGCGGGAGTCCGAGCATGATCATGCCTCCCGCGATCGCCAACGCCGCCAGGCGTGGCAGGGGGAGCCGGGACTGCGCTGGCGCCCGCCGACGCCAGCTGACTGCGCACCGGGTCGCCCTCGGCAGCAGGGCCCGCGTCTTCTTGTACAACTCGGGGAAGACATAGCCCAGCGCTGCCAGGAGCGGGCTCGCCTCGTCGGCCCCGTGGCCCTCCATGCACATGGAGTTCAGATACTCCACCACCACGTCGTCCAGCCCGGGCGCGTCCACCCAGCTCACCTTCGCCACGCGACAGAAGTCGAGGAAGAGGCGGAGGGTCCGCTGGTACAACAGCACGGTCCCCGGCTTCACGGCAATCTTCTCCAGCACGCTCATCCAAGGGAAGCGGTCGCAGGCGTCCACCTTCGAGGCCGCCTCCCGAGCCCGGGACACTCGTTCCTTCTTGAGCTTCCCGGCCTTCTTGCTGAGCTGCTGCTGGCGCGTGCCGCTGGCCACGGACTTGCCCATCACCGAGCTCCCGCCCTGCAGGCACGGTCCCGCCGCCTCTGTCGGCGCGGCAGGGGTGCGCCTGTGGGGAGCCCTCGCGGTATCTCGCCTCGGCAGGTGCACGCGGAAGCTGGCGTGGAGGAGGTGGCGCAGGGGTCGGAGCCTGTTGTTGGACCTCGAGCCAGGAGGGACCTGCGAAGAAGCCACACTGCCCGCGGGACCCCTTGTCAGCCGGATTCCTCTCGGACGGGACCCATCGGACGTAGAGGCGACTCCCCGTAGCGAGCGAAAGGGCAGCGACACGTCGGAGAGGTCGGAGGAGATAGGAGGACCGAGCGCGGCCTTTGACCGCCCCAAGACAGAGCGGTAGATTGTCGACCAACGCCAGAACCCGTGAACCTCGGGCAACCCCAGATCGGAGGATATGTCGGTATCCCAGGACCAAGGCGTCGCCCTCGAGCTCGAGAATGTTAGACCTATGCCTTACTCTGGTAGCTATAACCGTATTCCAATATTTGTCATCCATAAAATCTGTGCTAATCTCGTCGAAACTTATTGTATCGGCCCGGCTAGAACTGAAACCGCCCCCAGAACCAGCCTCCAGAGGTGTCGTGGATCCCATCCCAGAAGAACTGAACGCAGCCCCACCAACCGCGTCACAAGCCACAACCCCAGTCCCATTCCCAAAAGAACTGAGCAAAAACCCAACCTCCCTGTCACACTTCATACCTTTCCCTTCGGGCCCCAGTACAGTAGGAGCAGGGTGTCGGTCAGGGGCGAAGCTGGAGTCGGAGAGGGCGTGATTCCTAGCGTCGATGCACTGCTCAACCTTGAAGCGCCATTTTTCGGATACTCGGCCGATGGCACCGATCTCGGCTGGGTCAGCCCGCCGTGTACACACGCCCAGCCCGAACGGCGAGGCGTCCGTGGCGAGCACAGTGGGATGCCAAGGCGCCGTCCAGCGCACACACAGGAGTGGCAGAAGACACCTGATGGTCCAAAGTTCCCGGCGTACAGCAGGCCGGAGCTCCGCGACCCCGGGGCCGTTTTTGGTGACGTATGCATAGCTACACTGTAAAATACTGTAAACTTCACGTCTGATCAGGCCCGCCCAGGTGATGTGTCCCAAGAGAGCCCTGAGTAGGTGCCCGCTGCAACGCCTCCGTCGCAGCAGCGCCTCGATTGCAAACCTCAGACGCCACAGATTACGATGCTTTATTGAAAGTCGGTCCCCACCTGATAGTTGGAGACCAAGAACAACAGCATCCTGGGCCCCGGACTCCACCTCATGCAAGATAAGCCCCTTCTCGTCCAGAGACCTCCTGATATCTCCCAAAACCACCTCGGTAGTCGATTTGTCCCTCCCCACCGTCAGCACATTGTCCACGTACCCCGCGACAGCAACTTCCCCCCCTTTCACTTCCACAGCCGGTAAACCGTCCAGGATGACCAGGGAGGTAGGAATCTTAGACGACGAAATAGTATGACGAACGACGCTTTGACACAATAAGAGTGACCAAGACCAGCCCATGGGAAGAACACAGAGCCTGGGGGCGATGACCGTATCTGGGTGGAGTCGTTGCCCATTCAAAAACTTTAACCCCAGGTGTCGGGCGGCCGTGTATGGCAGCCGGAAATAGCGCCTGAGGAACGGTGGCAAGCCCATCCTGTAAAAAGCTGCGTTGGTATCGCCCGCTGCCACGAAGACCGGACCGTCGGTCTCGACCTGGCTGAGAGAAGATGCAGTAGGTAGTCGAGTAGAGAGTGGATCCTTGAACGAGTAGTTACACACCCTGGTATCGAATATAACCAGAATTTTACCGTCTTTTTTGGCCACGAAAAACACGCCGATGGTATGGGTATCCTTTGGGGCCAGGGTCCATTCGAGCATCCCGCGGTCGCATAAGAGGTGGAGGAAGTCGGAGTAGGCGGTGGGGTCGTTCCTCATGAAAGGGTCCACGTAGGGTTCCGCGGGACCCAGTTCCTGATGAAGGGAGGTGGCCTCATTAGCATCCCTGAGCAAATTCACCTGATAATTGCACAACCAGTCCGAGTCCCCGGCCGACAGCATGTTTGTCACACATGTGGCATCTATCTGGTCAAGGCCTCCTGGTGGACCCTACCCCGTCGTCGTAGAGTCCAGAGGCTGTGCAGATCTCACGCAAAGATCCCGCACCTGGAGCCAGATCTGGTGGAGGCGCAGAGATGGCAGCATAGCATTCGCGGATGTGTCGGAGGGCGTCGATCTGACCAGCATTAGTAGCGGTGACCTGGCCCTCCGTAGGGGCCTCCCCAGACATCTGATTCAGACAAGCAACCCCGTCGTTGGCCCAATCACTGTAATACTGAACCCGACGCCTCCGACGCTCCGCATTCCGACAAGGCTGCGCTGCCCCCTGGCACTGCCTCACCTCCCGTGGCAAAAAAGGCAAAGGGAAAATGTCGCGCTCGCGAGCGTCCCTGGTCGCTGGACCGGGCTCGGGCCTAGGGCCAGGCGTCGAGGGGGCACGAGAGCTCTGGCAAGCAGCAGCGCCACGGTCCGTGACCGAGGGTGGCGTCAGGCCAGGGGGGGGAGAGATATGTACACGAGTGAGGCCGGGCGGCATGGAGCATGACCCGACTTCGAAGGCCTCCGAAAGATGGGCGAGCGGGCGGCCTGGTCCCGCCGCCCGTGGATGATCAGCCATCATCCTTGCTGTCCTTCTTGGGGTTCTTCTTGTTCTGCTTCGCGCTCTGTCTCTCCTCCCGAGCCTTGCGCCTCTCCTTCATGACCGAGACCTCCTTCTGCAGCTCGCTCGACACCCAGCTCTGGAGGGATGGGCAGACCGCGACATTGCCGCGGACGTGGTCGAGGCCCATGTACAAGAAGGCGTCCTGCACGCCATCAGAGCCACCTCCGGCTATGCTGGGCATCCTGTCACGATGTCTCTCTTCAGACAACTGGATCGTTCGAGACATGATCTCGGCCGCTGCGATGTCGGGAAGGTTTAGCTGGTCGTACGTGGCCATACTCTCCAACATCTGGCAGCACATGAGGTGCTGCTCGACTCCGCCGTCATTCACCTGCAGCTTGGCGTCGGCCTTCCATCGAGCGTGGCGCCCGAGAGGCGTCTGTCCGTTGGCCACCATGAAACGACAGAGCCATAGCGTAGTGCGGGGTCCCCGCACTGGGAAATCATTCAAGGGCGTCTCGACCATGCCCTCCACGGCGAACCTGAACTCCCTGAAGCGGGCCCCGCTCACGTCCTGCTGGATCGGCTGCACACGGATGTCCACCGTCGGGAACGCGGCGACCGTGGGTGCGGCGGCGCCTGGGGCCATGGCGGCGGGCACCAGCACCCCGCCTGCGCCGATGGCGGGGGGCGGTACGACGGCCGCTGCGGCGGCGCCCGGCGCGCCCGCGCCTGGCGCTGCGCCCGCGGCGGCGCCAAGGGCCACGCCTGCGCCGGCCACGGCGCCGCCAGGGCCGCCGCCAGGAGCAGGTCCAAGCGCAGCCGCCAGGGCGCCCGCGCCTCCGCCCAAGGCCGGCACGACGGCCTCCGCGGCGACGGCGGCCCCGGCAGGGGCGGCTCCGACCGCGCGCCCGACCAGGTTGGGCTGCTTGCCGTCGATCGGCACTGCCACTCCCCGCCGTGCTGCCGCTCGGGCACGGGCGGCGTTGAACACCGCGGGCGTGGGTACGTTCTGAAACCGATAAACAGGTAGTACAGCCCCACCAGGTCCAGCAGGAGGATCACCTCCACAGGCCCCTAGGGCCATCAAGCCGAATGACACTACGTCTGCACCATGAAGCCAATCTTCGTCATACTCATCTCCGTCTGGGGTGAGCACACTCACGGTTGAGCCAGCTCCTGGCTCGATGAGCACGAGTCGCTCGTGATAGATGGGCGGACCTGGCACGTTGTACTGGATAGCACCAAAGTCACCGGCCTCGATGCCGAGGCTTTGCGCTGGAATAGGGGCAGCCATCACGCCGAATTCTTGCGCCGCTGCCTAAGAAGATTCAGCTGCTGGAGCGCGACCTTCTCCACGTCGTCGGTGATCGGAGCGAGCCCAGCAGCGGCGGCGGCCGGCACAGGCGGCGTGGCCCGAGCCCCGAACACGCAGTGCTGCACCACCAGCACCCCGAGCGCTCCGACGATCGTGCCAACGAAGAAGAACGTCGGCCCGCTCGGGCCCGTCGGGACCGTGTACTCCTGAGGCAGGGAACCTTCCGCACATGCCAGCGTCGGCGAGCACTGGCACACGCAATCAGGGCAGCCGACCGTGGACGCGCGGACTGCGAGGGAGGTAGAGAGTCCCCGAGCAATCTCAAGGACCAGCTCGTTCATGGGAGCCTGGGCCCCCAAAAAGCTTGAGCCGCAGTGTCATGCGGCCCCGCTCACCCCTCTCCCACTTACTGTATTTAATTCAGACATTGCGTCTTGACGTGACCGTGTTTTGCAAATTGCTTGCCTTTGTCAAGCTTCTGGTGCCCCCCTGGAGTCGTCCAACGGGAATCTCTGCGGGGCGACGACGGCAGCGGCGACTACGGCGACGGCGGCGGCGTACACAGAAGATCAGCAAGTCGTTCTTAAAATGTGGCTCTCACTCGCCATGGCACCGCGCACAATCGTCCGACAATCGTGCAACAGTCACACGGGTAAGCGGAAGCTCATTTCCAAAACGGGGCTCGTTTCAGACTTCATGCTCCGAAACATTTGACTTTGCAACAGCTGCAGGGGTACAGGTTGGGCCCCTTGGCAGTGGGACTTTTGCTGGAAAATTGTGTAGGCCATCTGCTCCGAAACTCGAATGCTCTCATTTTGTGATGTTTGCAATGCGGGGAGGTGTGACCCCCCACCCCCCCCTGGGACGCACAAACACATACTAGTACTATATGTTCTCCTTGGAGGCGCGTGCCCGACCCAAACATATACTATCCCCATCTTGTAGTATATCGTTTCGCGAGCGGTGTGGCCAGAAAGCGCCCGCCACGACGCATATACTATAAGATTTCTCGGTGCGCGCATCGCCCCCCGGGGGCCAACGCACATATAATATAAATATGTTGGGGTGACGCCGACCCCCCGCCGCTCCCAAAACGGCCACCCTGGACACCCCTGCAGATAGTCCCCCGGGGTTTCCGGGGCTCCTGGAACCCCCCTTGCTGGGCCCAAGCAATGCACCCAAATCGGTCAGGTGGGCGGCCAAACGATCCGCGAGGGGCCCCAGGAGGCCCCAGACACCAACCAAACGCCCGAAGACGACCCAAAGAAGATGCTCTAGAGGCTTCCGCAACGCAGAAAATACTGATTGCCCGCAGGTTTTGTATGTGGGGGATTCTCTTTTCTCTGGTCTTCCGGGCGTCCAAGACCTCCGAGGAGGCCCGCAAATCGCCCCACAGCTACCCAAAAGAGCTTCCAGGCAGTCCAAGAAAGCCCCAGGACGGCCCAACAGGGTCCCAAAATTGCCCGAAGAGAGCCCCATGACAGCTCTCATACGCCCCCCAGCAGCATTCCGAATCGTGACCCAGCCGTTCAGGGAGACCGCGGTTGGAAACAGGGTGGCCCGTGGAGGCCCGTGGGCCCCCCAAGAGGCCCCCCGAAGGCGCCCAGGAGGTCCCCAGAAGGCCCCAAGAAAACCTAAAACAACTTTCAAGGAGCCCCCAAGAGGCCCTCGAAGGAGGAGCCTCCGCAAAAAGAACTGATGAGGATGGGGAAGAATTTAGAGGTAGGGCGAGATGGAGAAAGAGGAAAATAAACATGAACGAGAGAGACTTCATAGCAGTCGACTAACGACAATGCCGGAAACAAGACGACAAGGAATTATCGCAATGCTTTGCCGTCTTGCCAGTCTGCCTGTCTCCCAAACTTCGAAGACAAGGCTGCATTGGCGCGAAGCGCCAACGCAATCGTGTATATACATGAGTCTGCGTGTATACATCTATATACACACATTTATTATATATATATATATACACATAGCTATACACATGCAAATACATATATATATATATACACATATATATATACATATATATATATACAAGTGGCACGTGTGTGCCCAGGCTCATACAACAAGCTGAAGGGGCGTTTGAAGCAGGAGTGACATGCAACAGCGAAGTCGCACTCGAGCGCAAGTGGGGTTGCCACACCTTGCGATGTGTGTACCAGGGCCCCCCAGGAAGCCTCAGGAGGCCCGACTTGGATACCAGGAGAGGCTCCAGGAGGCCCCAGGATTGTGAGTGTGTGTGTGTGTGTGTGATGTGTGCTTTGTGTGGTGCGTGCTTTTTGCGTGTTGTCGGTGTGTGTGTGTGTATGTTATGTTTGTCTAGCGTGTGATGTGTTGGGCGTGATTTGTGTCTCTGTGTGTGCATGTAGTTCTGAAGCCCCAGGAGGCCCCAGGAGGCCCCAGGCGGCCTCAGCAGGCCCAGGAGAACTCCAGGAGGCTCCGAGGCGGGGTCTGGGGTACCAGAAGGTCCAGAAAGCCCCAGGAGGCCCCAGGAGGTTCCAGGAGGCCCCCAGGAGGCTCCGAGGAGGGGTCTGGGGCTCGATTTTGGGAGGATGTCTCAGGCGAAACCGCCATTCTCTGAGAATCGGAGTCAAAATCATTGAAATTACCATGTGTTTTTGAAGGTTTTATGATAAAATGTTGGAAATCCTATGTGTTTTTGGACCCTGACGTCACGATCTGCGTGAGGGGTGCCACCGATTTTCAGAATTTCGAGGATGTCCCGAGCGAAACGGCCAGAAAAATCGCGAACGACGGACGCATTAATCGCCTCTGAGCTCTACTCCCTCGGAGAGGTGCGTATGAGAATATATATATATATATATATACACATACAAATACATATATTATATTTGCTAGCCAGTGCGAATCCCCAAGCAATGCGTTATAGCATCCGGTGTGTTGATATATCAGAGGTGACGGGGTGAGATCGAAGTGGGACGGAGAGCCCCCCTACCGGGAAATCGGTTTCGGTTTCGTGTTCGTACGTGCCGTGCGTGCGGGCGAGGCGAAGCTGCGTGGGCTGGCGCGAATAAAGTCTCATCCGGCTGAGGCGCGGCCGGACTAAATGTTTCCTGTCCAGGGGCTGGTGGCGCGCGGTATCCCGCGGGTGTCCCGCCTCCGGCTGAGGCGCGGGAACCAAATGTTTCCTGTCCGGGGGCCGGTGGCGCGCGGTGTCCCGCCGGTGTCCCGCCAGTGTCCCGTCGGTGTCCCGATGATGATGATGATGATGATGATGATGATGATGATGATGATGATGATGATGATGATGATGATGATGATGATATTGATGATGATGATGGTGACGATGATGATGATTTCGATGATGTTGGTGATGATGATGGTGATTGTGGTGATGATGATGGTGTCCCGATAATGATGATGATGGTGACGGTGCTGATGTTGACGATGTTGATGATGATGGTGGTGATGACGATGGTGTCCCGATGATGATGTTGATGATGACGTTGCGGATGATGATGGTGTCCCGGTGGTGATGATGATGGTAATGCTGCTGATGTTGGTGGTCCTGATGATGATGTGATAATGATGGGATGATGATGATGAAGAAGCTGATGATGATGGTGTCCCGATGATGATGGTGAGGTTGATGACGATGCTGCTGATGATGATGGTGATGATGGTCTCCCGATGAGGATGATGCTGATGATGACGATGATGGTGTTCCGATGATGATGGTGATGTTGATAATGAGGGTGCTGATACGGTGATGATGATTTTGATTATGGTGGCCTCATGATGGTGATGATGATGCTGATGTTGATGATGATGACGGTGCCCCGATGAAGATGATGGTGGTGATGATGATGGTGACGATGATGATGGTGTCCCGATGATGATGAAGCTGATAAAACTAATGATGATGATGTTGCGATGATGATGGTGTCCCGATGGTGATGATGTTTATGATTTTGGTCATGATGTTGGTGATATGATGATGGTGGTGTCCCGAAGATGATGTTGCTGGTGTCCCGATGATGATGATGTTGATGATGATGGTGACGATGATGGTGTCCCGATGGTGATGCTGGTGGTGATGCAGTTGGTGGTGATGGTGATGAGGTGGTGATGATGATGGTGTCCCGATGATGATGATGATGATGATGCTGTTGATGTTGGTGGCGATGATGGTGACGTTGTTTGTGAGATCGATTATGGTATCGATAGTGAGATCGATCGTGTGACCGAATGTGAAATCGATTGTGGGATCAGTAATGAAATCGATAATGAGATCGATTGTGAGGTCGATCGTCGGGTCGATGGTGAGATCGATCGAATGAAATAGATCGAGTGATATCGATTGTGAGATCCATCGAGTGAGATCGATCGAGCGAGACCGATAGTGAGATCGATAAAGAAGATCGATAGTGATACCGATCGACTGAGAAATTGGTTCCTCCCCCCCGAACCTCCTTATCATCCGAAGGGTGGTCGTATAGGTATGGGTATATATACGTGTGTATGTGTGCGTATGTGATGCAAGCTATGTTGTGCACGCCACGCACTGCAATCTATGTGGCGCAGTCTGTGTCAAGTGCGATCTACGTGGGACACTATATGTGGTGCAGGCTGTGCAAACTAACGTGGGTCAATGTCGGAGGTTTGGGGGTGAGATCGCAGTGAAACGGAGACCCCCCGCCGGGAAATCGGTTTCGGTTTCGTGCTCGTGTCGTGCGTGCGGGCGAGGCGGAGCTGCGCGTGATTCTCCTGTAGCTAAGCCGAAATAGAAGCGAAAAACCGTTCCCGTCCGCCGGTGGCTGGGAGGCGTCCCAGTTGGGCCGGGCGGTGTCCTGGGTGTCCCGGGTGTCAGTAGGAGCGAAAGTCCGTTTCCCGTCCGCCAGTGGCCGGTAGGTGTCCCAATTGGGCCGGGCGGTGTCCTGGGTGTCCCGGGTGTTCCGGGCGTCCCGGCGCTAACGCATGTCGCTAATTTCATAATTCATTTTTTCCGGCGCCTGCGGCTGGGCTTTCTTATGCAACGCAGCTTACTTTATCCAATTCATCTTGTCCAATCCAATCCAACTCATCTTATATTATCCAACCCATATTGTCCCATCTTATCGTATCCCACCCAATCCAATCCATCAATTCATTTGTTTCTGCTCCTGCGGCGGGCCAATGCAATCCATCTCCAAGCCTATCCATCTCTTCCAAGCCAACCTATCTTATCTTATCCAATCCATCTTACCCCATCCAACCCAATCCACCCAACCCAATCCATCATTTCATTTGTGCTGGCACTTGCGGCGGGCTGTATTATCCAATCCAACTTATATAATCCGATCCATCTTGTACAATCCAATCCATCCTATAGTATCCGACCCATCTTTCCCATCCTATATGATCCCACTCATTCCAAACCATCCAACCCAATACATCAATCCGTTTGTTTCTGCGCCTGCAGCGGGCCAATCCAATCATCTTATCAAATCCAATCCATCCCTTCCAATCCAACCCATATTATCTGATCCGATCCATCTTACCCCATCCAATCCAACCCACCCAACCCGATCCATCAATTCATTTTTGTCGGCGCCTGGGCGCAATCGCGGCAGGTTGCGATGGTTCTGGTGGTTGTGCCGATGGTTGTCCAGTGGTTGTCCGACAACAAGTCGTTTTTCGGCGCCTGCGGCGGGCTTTCTCATTGTGCTTTTGAAGTCGATAGTGAAATCGACAGTCAGATTCACCGATAGGTTGGTCGACGGATAGGTAGATAGAGGGATCTCATCGTCATCGCGATCATCATTGTGGTGGAGGGAGACTCTGACAGAGAGGGAGAGAGAGAGAGAGGGCGAGAGAGAGAGAGAGACAGACAGACAGAGAGAGAGAGAGAGAGAGACAGAGAGAAAGATAGATGAGATCAAGGTGACAGGCTGGAGGTCAGTCAGGGTGGGCATTCGATCTGAATCCCCCCCACCCCCTTATCGCCCGCAGGGGGGTCGTATAAGTATAGTAACACAAAGCAATGGAATCCAACGCAGAGCATTGCAAATCAATGCGCATCAATGCCACAAGCAATGCAAAACAATGCAAAGCAACGCGAAGCAATGCAACGCAATGGCATACAGCACGAGACACAGCAAAACAATGTAAACACATGCAACACAATTCAAAGCAATGCCAAGCAATGCAAACCAATACAGAGCAATGCACGACAAGGCACAGCGACGCAAAGCAATGCAAATCAGTGCACCGCAATGCGACTGCAGAGCAGTGCGATTGCAATACATTGACGCAAACAATGAAACATAACGCAAAGCAATGCAGAGGAATGCAAGGCAACACAACTCAATGCCAAGCAACGCAAACCAATGCGAAGCAATGCAAAGCGGGTGTCGGCGATGCGGCAGCCGACGACGAGGCGGCCACATGGCGGCCAGAGAGGCCCGCAGGCAGGCCCAGGCGACGGGCGGCGACGGGCGGCAACGAGGCGACGGCGGCGGCCACATGGCGGCCAGAGCGGCCCGCAGAGTGAGAACCCCTGAGCGCAAGGCAAACACTGTATTGGGAATCTGTAGCACACCATCATACTAATGGACGGCGGCTTATTTGGAAAACATGGTATCGTGCTTGATGCGTCATCTGATGCTCTGTCATTCGATCTGATGCGAGCGTGGCGGGATTTCGCCTGGATGGCAAGCTCGTGTTTCAAGCTGGCGCTCCCGGCTCCGAAAAGAAGCGCCGGCAGGGACTCATGAGGAGGGGATTGGGTGTGTTGCCTCCTCCTCCTCCTTCTTTTTCCCCCTTCCCCCTGAAGTCTGGAATTCCAGGAGGTCCCGAGGCCTCCTCATGCCTCAGAAAGGCAAGCAATCGCTCACAACATCCATCCTCGATACGCCTCGGTTCTCCTCCGCCTCCTCCGCCTCCTCCGCCTCCTCCTCCTCCGCCTCCTCCTCCTCCTCATCATCATCATCATCCCTTTCCTCCTCCTCCTCCTCCTCCTCCTCCTTCTCGTCTTCCTCCTCCTCCTCGCTCCCCCTTCCTGAGAGGAGGAAGGGCGGGGGCACGGCGGCGGCCCCCCCGCGCGCTTCGTGACCCTGGGCCTGTCCAGCCGCGGCCGCGACGGGCCGTATCTCGGGGCCGCCCCGGAACCTGAGGGGCAGATGCGAGAAGGGCTCGCAGGGGCGGACGGCGCGGAGGAGGCGGGCGGGGCGGCGTGGGGAGTAGTCGAGCGCGCTCCACTACTCGCAGAGCATCTACTCGCAAGTGGCCTGGATCCGCAGCGGGGGACCTACGATAAATAGCATCGAAGCAGACGTGTGTGTTTTCGGACGTTTGCGAGTAGGCACTTTGCGAGCAGTGGAGCGCGCTCGGCGAGGGAGCCGGAAGGGCAGAGGGGGCAGCAACGGCAATCGGGCAGGGAGCACTCGGCCAGGCAGAATTCGGCCGGCGGAGCTCGGCCGGGTGGAACTCGGGCGCCTGAGCTCGGCCAGGCTGAATCTGGCCCGGGCCGAGTTCGGCCTGGCCGAGTTCAGCCCGGCCGACTCCCGCCTGGCCGAATATTTTCCTTGTCGAGGGGGGGGGCACCCTCACCAGGCTGACGAGCTGAGGGGGCATAGGCAGACGAGGGAAGGGAGGAGTCTGAGCGCCAGACTCATAACACAACTGCTATTGGAGTCTGAGCGCCAGACTCGTAACAAACCTAAAGAGGAGGTCCAGTTTTCGGGTGCTTACCCTCGAGGAACCTGTCTAAGGCAGCCTTCGGCCTTGGGACCCTTCTCGAGATGCCCCTTGCAGAACCCCTTCAGCACAGGCACCAACATCTGTGAGCAGTAACCACCGCAGCGCCAGCAAAGCATGAAGGGGCCTTTGCGCTCCACTCGGTGGCCAAGCGCCGAGAGGCCATCATCGCCCTGCCGCAACGCCGACGCTTCCCCCGAAACATCCTCACGGTCCGCAGGGACCCCCCGACTCCGAAGCAGCCAACACAAGCTCAGAAGCACAAGCCACCGCAAGCGCCGCCGAATTCTCTCATAGCGCTCGACAGGGGTAGCCTTCTCGAAGCGCCCACCTTTCCCGAAGTCGACCCCTACCTCCCGAGGGGGAGGAAGACGGAAAGGCGGTAGGTGCGGCGGGAGGTGGAGGTGGTGGAGGTGGAGGTGAGGAGTGGCGTGAGGCCCTGGAGGTGGTCGAAGCAGAAGATGATGGTGGTGGCGAGGAGGAGGAAGAGGAGGAGGAGGAGGAGGAGGAGGAGGAGGAGGAGGAGGAGAGGGTTGAGGAGGGCAGAGCCTGGTCTTGGACAGGTAGACGCCGACGGCGCGGCACCACATGGCCAGTGGCACCACTGGGACACAGACCGTCTTCAGGGCCTCCTCGTCGAAGTCGTCGCTCATCAGGCGCTCGCGCAGGCTGAGGAACTGCTCCTGCGTCACTTTGGCGCAGCTGAACGCTTGGATCTCGCTCGCGAACGCTCGGCTACCTATGTAGCGCCGCAGGCGGCTCCAGCTTGTTGGCGACTGACCCAACAGCATGGCCGCCGTTTCCAGCACCTGCCGCACAGCGGGCGCCGAGTTGACGCTCCGGAACACGGTCATGTTGGCGCGCGCGGCCGAGCGGGCGCACCACCTGGCCGTGTCCAGACACTCCAGCAGCTCGTTGCGCAGCTCCTCGCCGAGTCCGTCCGACCGCCTCCGCGCGCGCGGGCTGGCGCTGGCCGCCGCACCGCCGCCGCTTGCCCTCCTGGCCGTGGCCCGCTCCTGCGGGGCCGGGCCCTCCACGAGCGGGCTCGGCTCGAAGATGCCCACGTCGTCGTCCCCCGCGCCTGCAGCTCCCCGCTCCGTGCTCGCCGAGCGGGCGCCCCGGGCGCCCAGCTCCGCCCCTCCCGCCGCGGGTGCCGCCTCGGCGGAGGTCACCTGCACGCAAGGGTGGCCCCGGGCCCCAGGCAAGAGGGACCGTTGCTGCGCGGCTTGCTGGCAGTCGCAGGCGATGCGAAAGCAGCGAGTTGACCCTCCACCCCCTGCTCCGAATGCCGCGAACCAAATGCCAATAGCGCGAAGGTCCACCCTTCCTCTAGCCGAAGGGGGGGCCGCCACACGCTGGAGGCGGCCGGGGGGTCTGACCTGGTTTGGGCACCCCAGGAATCGGCAGGAGGGGGGGATGAGACCAAATCCGCCCGCCCCGGATTAGTTCCTGACGGTCCTGCAGGGCGCCCGAAGACGGCCCCCGGAGGCTGGAAGAGGCAAAGCACCGTCTCGAACCCAGCACCTCGAGCCCCAGACCACTCGTTCGTTTTTTGACGGCCCCGAGGAGTGCAAAGGCCTCCAGAGGCCGAAACTTGAGACACATTTTCGGGCATGGTTTTTCAAGGCCCGAGGGGGGCCGCCCTGCACGACGCCTCCGGAGGCGGCTCGTAGATCACGCGCTCGTCCTCCTCCGCGGGCCCCGCCGAGGCTGGGCGGCCTCGCGCCGCCGGCGCCTGCGCCTGGGGAAACCACAAGGTACTGATACCTCTGCTGCCCGGACCTCTCTCGGGGTGCGTGCTGAACAGAGTCTCTAGGCAAATCCAGCGGTGGCGACGAGGGCCTCCCAGGAGGCCCAGAAACCCAGACGTCCGCCGATCTGATTTTTTCAATCCGCGGCCTCAGAGGTCCCGATCCCTTTCCCGAGGGTGGTTTTTCGTCATGGACTCATGTGTGAAAGTCCCCGGGCGTGATAACGGGCCCCAGAGGCCGAAGTCCAGGAAAAAACCGCTGGATTGACAACAGTCAGATCCTCGGATCTCTGGGAAGGGGAAAGCGGGCAGAGGGTAGCGGTCTGTATACCCAGAGATCCGACGTAGCGAACAAACATCCACATCGTGAAGAATCACGCCCAGAGCCCCGGACACCATCTTTCTGCGCCATATTTTTCGATCCGCATCGATCCGTGAAGGCCCCCGGGGACCGAAAGGAGGCGACCATGCTCGGCTCGGAAACATCGAGACGCCAAGATCTCAGGGCTCGAGTAGGGATCGAGCGCACAATCGATTCACGCCGAAATTCATCTGTTCGTGGAAAACCATGGGACACGTGTAGAATGTTCGAAGATCTCTACGAACATGTACGTCTGACTCGGCGAGAGAGATCCATTCTGGGGTAAATCCATTATGTAGTCGATCCCCTACTCGAAAGGCACCCTCTTGAGCAGGGACCGATCGTCCCGGCATTCCTATAGTCATACCACGAGATGTTCCTAGGGCCCAAACATGTTCTAAGAACAACAACAATGTGCTTAGAACATAAACCCGATGCGTTAAAACAAGACAGTCCCAGCCAGAAATGCTCTAACCTTTCGTGGGAACCACAAAAGGTTCTTAGATCATTGTTTGGTGGGGCTAATAGGCGAGCCGGGACGCTTCGCCACTGCTCGACCCTCTCCCCATCCGAGCGCCGTGCCCTCCCCGCGGCGGGGCGTCTCCGGGCGGGCGCCGGCCCCGGCGCACGCCACGGCCTCGGCCGCGGCGGCGCAGGGCGCGCAGCAGGGCGCGGGGGCCTGGTGCACGGGGGAAACCAGGGCCGCAGGCGACCCGAGGAGGAGGAGGAGGAGGAGAGGGAGGAGGAGGAGGAGGAGGAGGAGGAGGAGGAGGAGGAGGAGGAGGAGGAGGGAGGAGGAGGAGGAGGAGGGGAGGGAGGAGGAAGGAGGGGAGGGAGGAGGGAGGAGGGAGGAGGAGGAGGGAGAGGGAGGAGGGAGGAGGGGAGGGAGGAGGGAGGGGGAGGGAGGAGGAGGAGGAGGAGGAAGAGGAGAGGAGGAGGAGGAGGAGGACGGGTCGCCTAAGCCCTTCGGAGAAACCCTCCAGGGCCTGGCGCAGGGACCTCCGGACCTCCAGCTCCAGCCTCTCCTGCGGCAGTGCGGAGTCGGCCGGCAGCGCGCAGAGGGCCGACCTCCCCCAGGGGTGTCGGCCCTCTTTTCGATTGAGGCCTGGCCTCGATCGGCAGAAGCCGATCGAGGCCAGGCCTCGATCGACAAGAGGACGGAGTCCCCCTCCCCTTGTCGATCGAGGGCCCACTATAGACGGGGAAGGCCAGACAAAGGACCCCAGGGGAGGGGACGACTGGGATGAGCGGCGCGCACAGGGGCGCATGGGGGAGGGGGTGAGGCTTCTTGGGGGGAGGCTGCTTCGTAGAAGGCGCCGGCCCCACATCTGTAGACAAGGCCCGCGCCTTCTGAGAAGCAGGTGCGGTTGTAAGAAGATCCCCCCTCCCCCTACCCGCCTCTGCGCGTGGCCGAGTTGGAGTCGGATGGGGTTCGTCATAGGTGGCCCAGCACTAGCGGCAGTTCGGACCCTGAGATCCTACCGATGCAAATGTTGCATATCACTCGTTCTCGCTCGTTGTCGGGCCTCAGGGCCCTCACAGATCGATCTGGCGTTAAAAAACAGAACGATAGGGTTCAGAGCTCGGGTCGTAATTTTTCACGATGTTGCAATTTTTCGCAACGCCCGATCTCACTGGAGTTGGCCCCGCACTGGTTCTGGCCTGCAGGAAAAGGGGGGAGCAAATTCGAGGTTCTAGGGTCGGTGGGGTGTTTCGCCTTTTCCGGCCTCGTGGGGCCGTTTGCGGGCCCCGGGACCATCACAAATGGATCTTCGGTGAACAACTATACAAGATGGACACCAGGAATACTGGGGACCGACTCTGAACAGAGTTCATCCCCACTCCTGACAACTTTTCCCGGAAAGGGCATAAGCCCAGGGTTCTGTTTTAGTTGGTTTACCTCCGGGTTTGACTTGAGGTGGGCCAACGAATTTCTTCTGCGATATATATATATATATATATATATATATATATATATATCGAGGTCGAGATGGGCCGGCGAATTAAAAATTGAGGATGTCCCTGGCGAGACGCTGGTTTTTGAAATCGGGATCGATAAATCACAGGGTGCGGGACACGTTTTGGTCAGGGGCATGGATTACGCAATGCCTATAGATTGGCCCCATCCAGGGTTACGTACCTGTGTGTTTTTATGTATGTTCCTATAGATGGGCCCTCCCGTTACCTCTAGATTGGCTCTCTCCAGGGGCACGAATACGTGCGTTTGTTTACGCATATTCCTATAGATTTGCCCTCTCCAGGAATACGTGTGTTCCCAGAGACTGGCCCCATCCAGGGGCACGCATGCGTGTGTTCTTACGTATGTTCCTATAGATGGGCCCTTTCATTACCTATAGATTTGCATTCTCCAAGAGCACGAATTCGTGCGTTTTACGCATGTTCCTATAATTTGGCCCTCTCCAGGATTACGCGTGTTCCCATAGATTGGCCCTTTTCCAGGGGCACGAATCCGTGCGCTTTTACACATATTCCTATACATGGGCCTCACATTACTTATAGATTGGGTCTCTCCAGGGGCACGAATCCGTGCGCTTTTGCGTATATTTGGTGCTGCAGTCCAGACGCATTGGGGGAAAAACTATTCCTGTCCGCCTAAGCGCTTGTCTTCACAGCCTAACCACACCAGGCACAAGTAGCGGTTGCGGCGGAACCTGTGGATTACCCTACAGGGTCAACGCTAACATCAAAGGCCTCAAATCGAGGATAGGCCGGTACAGCCAAAGAGACGGCAACGAGCGGCAACACGCAACGAAAATGTCACGAAGTATGGTCCGCTGGTGCAGAAGGAGGAGGAGGGACAAAAGGAAGCAGAGGAGTAGAAGGAGGAGGAGCGAGGAAAGAGAGACCAGTCAAAAACCAGGAGCAGCATCCAAGCCAACTTGCAATAGGCGAGCAGTCGCGCGCACCCTGGGACTTGAGCAGTGGACAGTAGAGCTGGCTTAAAGACCGCGGAGCTTTGTTGTGCAATCCGATAGTTTCCGGCGTTTCATAATGGCGCTCCCGCTGCAGCGTGGGCCTCCTTCTCGGATCGGCGCTGTGCTCCCGTCGTTCAAAATGGAGCTTATCCCCGAAAGGGCGTGGGCCCAGGGTTCTCTTTTAGTTGGTTTACCCCAGGTTTCGACGGCTGTAGGGCCGGCGGAATCATTTATGATAAATAACGAGGTCGCCAAGGGCAGGCGGAAGCATTTTTGAGCATGTCTCAAGCGAAACGCTTGCTTTTCAGAATTTCTGGATGATATCTCGAGCGAAACGCTTGTATTGTGTTATAGTTTGTCCTCTCCTGGGGACCAGAATTCAAAGGATCTCTCAAGCGAGATGCTTGTTGTCACGTGCCCAGGTCTTGAGGATGTCTCGAGCGAGACGCTTGGTTTCACGCCTCCAGGTTGCCCAGGCAGAGGTCTAGCGCCAGGATTTATTGAGGATGTCTCGAGCGAGACGCTTGGTTTCACGCGTCCTCGTCGCCCAGGCGGATGTCTAGCATGAGAATGTGTTGAGGAAGTCTCGATCGAGATGCTTGTTTGCACTTGTCCAGGTTGCCCAGGCGGATGCCTAGCATGCGGATGTGTTGAGAATGTCTCGAGAGATACGCTTGTTTTCACGTGTCCAGGTCGCCCAGGCGGATGTCTAGCATGAAGATGTGTTGAAGATGTCTCGAGCGAGACGTTTGCTTTCACGTGTACAGGTCGCCCAGGCGGATGTCTAGAATGAGGAGATGTTGAAAACGTCTCGAGCGAACCGTTTGTTTTCACGTGCCCAGGTCACCCAGGCGGCCGTCTCACATGAAGATGCGTTGAGGATGTCTCGAGCGAACCATTTGTTTTCACGTGTCCAGTTCGCCCAGGCGGATGTCTAGCATGAGAATGTGTTGAGGATGTGTTGAGCGAAACGCTTGTTTTCACGTGTCCAGGTCGCTCAGGCGGATGTCTAGCATGAGGATTTTGACAGGATGTCTCGAGCGAAACGCTTGTCCCCAGCACGTTCCGTAGCGCGTCCCCTTGGCACGTCCCGCGGTGCGTCCCCATGGCACGTCCCCTGGCACGTCGCTTGGCGCGTCCCTTGAGACGTTTCGCGGCGCGTCCTCCTGGCATGTCCCCCTGTCAATTAGCTCTGGGGCAGTTACTATGTGTTCAGGCAGTTCGAGCTTAAGATCCAGATCAGTTCGGTCAGGACTCCCATGCAAAGGAGGACTCGATCCACAACGCTCTAGAGCACAATCGCGGCATGGCACATCGCAATTCAGCACGGCGCAGCACAGCACAGACTTCGGCACGGTACATCAAGATCGATACACTCAGCATTGCAACCTGGCACGTTCCTTGGCACGTTTCGTGGGGCGTCCCTTGGCGAGTCCCCCTGGCACGTCGCGTGGCGCGTCCCCTAGCACATCCCGTGGCACATCCATGGCATGTTCCGTAACGCATCCCCTTGGCACGTCCCGCGGTGCGACCCCATGGCACGTCCCCTGGCACGTCGCTTGGCGCGTCCCTTGAGACGTTTCGCGGCGCGTCCTCCTGGCATGTCCCCCTGTCAATTAGCTCTGGGGCAGTTGCTATGTGTTCAGGCAGCTCAAGCTTGAGATCCAGATCAGTTCGGTCAGGACTCGGATGCAAAGGAGGACTCGGTCCACGACGCTATAGAGCACAATCGCGGCATGGCACATCGCAATTCAGCACGGCGCAGCACAGCACAGCCCTCGGCAGGGTACATCAAGATCGGTACACTCAGCATTGCATTTGCCCGTCACCTAATCAGGTGTCTTTGAAAACGTTGCCATGCGGTACATTTCTATATTCCTTTCCGGGTTCGTGGGTCGATCATGTTATGGGGTCGCCATCAACTCAGACCCCCTGGCCGCCTACAAGTCCAGAGGTGAGGCCCGGTGGGGGCGTTGGATAAGGAACCATTGGATAAGGACTCCAGGGTCTGGAAGCCAGTGCAACGCCAATTGAGGCCTGGCCAGGGATACGAATCACCGCCACCCCCATCAGATAAGGACTCCCCCAGGGTCTGAAGCCGCCTGAGCACATTCTTTAACGAACACACCCACCGAATGGGCTACAAGGATGAGCGGCTTCGGGTTGCGCAAAACAATAGGACATGAGATCTCTGCTGATCACCGTTGTGACAAGGATAGCCCCGCACCGGTCAGCAAGATTCGGAGGAGGGCGACGACGACGACGCGAGCACAGAGGATGAGCCGCCTCAAGCAGTGGAATGGCTCAGCTTTTGGAAACCCTCTCCTACTGTCGGGCACTTTTGCTTAGCGTGTCGTGGCGGCGGGCCCAGCGGCACGCTATCGAGCTGATAGCGTGTCGCTCCGCGCAGCGGGGCGGGAGGCAGGGAAGAGCCGAGGACACTGACGCCTGTGGCGCACAAGCGTGGGCCCGAACCAGCGGCGCGACATGCCAACCCAATCGTTAATGACCGTAGCCCTTGGGGTCCCATATCCCTCAGGGTCCCATTCTCTGAACTGGGGGCCACAAAAAGGCACCCCTGCCACTCTTCCCCGAACCTCTGACGGGGTGCGTCCTGACCAGAATGTCGAGGAGTCCAGCTGTGGTGACAAGAGCTCTCAGCTCTCCAGGACGAGCAGCGGCATCGGTACCGCCTCCGAGAGACAACAACAACAACAACAACAACAACAACAACAACAACAACAACAACAACAACAACAACAACAACAACAACAACGACAACAACAACAACAACAACAACAACAACAACGACGACGACGACGACGACGACAACGACGACGAGCACGACGACGACGACAGCAACCGCGACGACGACGACTTCGACTTCGACTTCGATTTCGACTTCGACGACGACGAGCACGACGACGACGACAACGACGAGCATCACGATGACGACGTCAACGACGACGACGACGAGGACGACGACGACGAGGACGACGACGAACTGCCGAAGTCCTGCCGCTCCCGTATCTTCTGCAGCGCCTGCGCCGACTGCGCCGCCGCCAGGCTCTTCGCCTGCTCCAGGGCCTGCACGTGCAGCGCCAGCTGGTCGCTGCAGTGCTCTGTGCGCCCTGGCGGGCTCAGCGCCCTCGCGGCGCCCCAGGCCTGACCAGCCACCAAGCCACCCCGACTCAACCCGAAGTCGCCGTGGGGCCTGCCGATTTCCAGGGGGGGACGTTCCGGAACCTCGAGGAACACACAGTGGATCCCGCACGCACCCCTCCACCCGAAATGCATAGGGGGTCCCGTGGGCCTTCGGGTGGGATGGGGGTGGCCTGGTGAGCAGCGTAGGCCTGCGAGGCCGCCCCGGGCGCCAGCAGCACGTGGCAGCCGCTGCTGCGCACCCCCGCCGGCCGCGCCCAGGCGAGCGGCGCAGCCGGCGCCGCCGACAGGCAGGCCCTCGCGCGCGGCACGGGCGAGGGCGGCCCCTCCACCGCGGCGCCGCGCGCGCGAAGCTCGCACACGGCGACCCACGGCCCGTGCGCCACGGGGCAGGTCATCCTCCCCGCGCGTCTGGACTCCTCCTCCTCCTCCTCCTTCTCCCCCTCCCCCTTCTCCCCCTCCCCCTTCTAGTCCCTTGGGATCCTGGCGCTGCAATGCTTTACACCAGGCGATTTCGCTCGTTGCTGGGCCCCAGGGTCCTCACACATCGATCTGTCCTGAAAAATGATACAGGAACATGGGGTCCAGAGCTCGGGTCGTGATCTTTCACGATGTTGTAATGCTTGCGCAACGTCGAATCTCAGGGTCCTTCTTCTCCTCCCCCTTCTGGTCTGCTGCCTGCTGCCTCCCATCTTCTGCCTCCTCTCTCCTCCCCGGTCCTTCAGCTGCTGCTGCTGCTCCTCCTCTGCGCTCCCACTCTGGCCGACCCGGGGCTGGAGAGAGGATGGGCAGGGTGAAGAGACGAGGGAGGCGGAACGAGCCCCCTCGACGAGCTGGAGGAGAATGATGACGAGGAGGGACCACTTGCCAGAGGCCAACAGCCCCAAGACTGCCACGCACACCTGTACGTAGCCTCCCCTCTCTCCACGCTGTCGTCGCCGCAACCGCCACCAATGTCGCAGCATCGTTGCCGCCGCCGTTGCCGCCGTCGCCACCGTCGCTGTCACCAGACACCTTCCGGTGTGATCTTTGTTCGATCCGCGGACCCAGAATTCCCGACCCCCTCCCCCGGAGGGTCGTCTTGCGTCCCGTATCCACTTCTGCTGGGGCCCGAGGCCTGCCTCCTGGGCGGCCGGCACAGAAGATAAACGCTGCGATCGGATCTGGAAAAATCGTGGCCTCAGAGCAAAACCTCGGGCCTCCGGCGGCCGTTTGGAGGGGTCTGGGCATCCCCGGAACGATCTCGGCGAGGCGCAGCGGCAGGAAGCCACCCCGAGAAGACCTCGTGCAGATTGACAGACGAAAGTCCCTTCTAGGATCGTGGCCTCCGCCGCCGCCATGGTCATGGTCGTGGTCGTGGTCGCGGTCCCGAGACATGCAATGTCTTGATCTTTTCAATACGCAGCCAGTGACCGCCGGTCACTGGAAGTCCTGACCCTTTCCCCAGGGCTGGAATCTCCGGCGAGGGCCCCCACCGGTAGGAGATGACCAGAAACCTCCCGAGGTGACAGACGACGCGAGCATGTCTATATCGTCTTCGTCGTCGCCGTCATCGTCGTCGTCGTCGTCGCTGTCGTCGTCATCGTCGTCGTCGTCGTGTCGTCTTTGTCGTCGTCGTCGTCGTCTCGTCGTCGTCGTCGTCTTCGTCGTCGCGGTCATCGTCGTCGTCGTCGTCCTGGCGGCCGTCGTGGCCGCCGTCGTGGCGGCCGTCGTCGTCGTCGTCGTCGTCGTCGTCGTCGTCGTCGTCGTCGTCGACGTCGCCGCGTCGTCGTCTCGTCGTCGTCGTCGTCGTCGTCGTCGACGTCGTCGTCGCAGTCGTCGTCGGCGTCGTCGCCGTCGCAGTCGTCGTCGTCGTCGTCGTCGTCGTCGTCGTCGTCGTCGTCGTCGTCGTCGTCGTCGTCGCAGTCGTCGTCATCGTCGTCGTCGTTGTCGTCGTCGTCGTCGTCGCCATCGACGTCGTCGCCGTCGCCGTCGTCGTCGCCGCCGTCGGCATCGCCGCCATCGACGTCGTCGCCGTCGTCGTGTCGTTGTCGTCGTCGTCGTCGTCGTCGTCGTTGTTGCGGCCGTCGTCGTCGTCGTGGCGGCCGTCGTGGCGGCCGTCGTCGTCGTCGTCGCCGCCGCCGTCGCCGCTCGCCGCCGCCGCCGCTGCCATCGCCGCCGCCGCCACTCTGTTGGGCGGAAACATATCCGTATCCGCGGCCTCGCGGCCAGAGCCCCTGAGCCACGGCCCCGCGGATACGGGCGTTTTTCCGCGGATGCACTGCGCGGAACGTGTGCGTGCGACCGCGCATCCGCAGGACCGCGCCCCGGAGTCCAGGCCACGAGTCTGTTCGCCGCTCCCCTGCGATCCGACGTTTCTAAAAATTTGCGACGTCGCGACAAATCATGCCCGGAGCCGGCCGGAGCCCTGGACCCCATCTGCCTGCGCCACGTCTCGAACGGCATCGCTCTGTGAGCGCCTCGGGGGCCCGAAAACGGGCGACGACGCCCTCTGCGAGCAGCCTGCGGAGTCCAGGCCGCGAGGGCGTGGATCCGGATATACCCTCGCCGCTCGCGACGCTCGGCCGTCCGCGGCGACAGCGCCCCGGAGCCCGCGGCGGGCGTCCGCAGCGCGGCGGGGTGCAGCGCGAACGGCACCGCGAGCGGCGCCGCGAGCGGCGCGCGGTGCCCGCCCGCGGGGCTCAGCGCGCGGAGCCCGGCGGCGGGGCTGGCGGGGAGGGCCTGCGGCGCGCAGGGCTGCGGCCTGGGGGAGCCAGAGGCCGCCCGTCCCCGGCGTATCACTCCGGGGGGCGGCGGTGGGGGCGAAGCATTCACTTAAGGGTGGAGGGCTCAGGGTGAAATCCATGGGGGCTCTTGCACCTCAGCAATGAATCCGTCTTGTGATTCACCTTTTGCAGGATGAAGCCTCGCAAACCAATCGGAACGGCATTTCAGATGTCACCCTTTGCCCTCCACCCAAAGAAGATGCTCGGACTACATGTGCGAAGGCCAAACCAAGCGTAGCCCCAGGACGAAGGGCCCCCAGTGAGGTGTCGCAGCGGCCACGGTTCCAGCCACGGTGGGCGCCAAAGCGCAGCCGCTGGGCTTCCCGGAGTGAGCCGTGGGGCCCCCTCTCCAAGGTACGTCTTTTGTGGGGTACGTTTGGTCTCCCTTGATACATGTATCCAGGGGCGCCGATGATCCATGCCTTCGGCGAAGTTCCCTGGCGAATGTATGTAATGTTTGCCCCTGGGCTATTTGCCCTTGTCGTCGCCTCCGATCCCTGTAGGCATACCACGAGATCCTCTAGAACTAAAAGAGTGCTAACAAGGGCAGGAGTATTCGAAAACGAGGCCGACGGAGGAACACCTTACCGCCTCGGCAAAACATGTCCTGACAACATTTCGCACAAACTACAAAAAAGGTTCTTGACACGTTGCTTGGTGGGCCTGCGGCCGGGAACTTTTGAATAGCGTGTCGTGGCGGCGGCCCTGGTGACACGCAATGCCGGCTGTTGCTCCGCTCCGCGGGGAAGGAGGCTAGGAACAACTCGGGACTCTGACGCTCGAAAACCGGGACGTGGCCAGCGTGTCGCGCCGAAGCTTGCCCGGCGGAGCGAACGCCGAGCCAACGTCTCTGACCGTAGAAGGGGGGCCATGAGGAGGAGGAGGAGGAGGAGGAGGAGGAGGAGGAGGAGAAGGAAAAAAAGGAGGAGGAGGAGCAGGAGGAGGAGGCGGCACCGCCAACGGAAGGTCCCGTCAGCCTGCGCGCGAAGGACGGCACTCCCGAGGAGCAGTTCGCACGCCGAGAATACGCAGCTGGGCGCTGCGAGGCTGGGAAAGGTTGCTCGTATGAACGCGATCGGTCGTCTGCTTTAGGAGGAGACCCTGAACCGAAGGGAGGGGGCGGTAAGCCGCTGGAGGGTCCTCGGAGCCCAGAGGACCCCAAGGGTCCTCTCCGCGAGCCCGCGCCCGCCCTGGACGGCGGGGGCCCGTCGAGGGGTGCGCCGCAGGCGCTTTGACCTTCCGGGCTTCTACTGATACAAATGCGACTGAGGGGGGAGAAAGGGGACCTGTTCCTAGCTGGGCGTTCGGTCCAAGGAAATGCGACAACGGGACACGCGGCGGTAAGGAGCGCCGCGAGCTAACGGATTCTGGGAAGCCAGCCCGAGACAACGGGAAAGAGAAAGCGCTCACATCTGGGAAGAGCTTATCTCGTGCACGCTCCGAGGCCCGCGAGAAGGCCGCGAGAGGGAACGCCGCCACGAGTGGCGCCCCAGCCGAAGGTGGGACCGCGAACGGGGGGGGCGAACGGCCGACGTGGAAAGGAAGGAAATGGCGAGACGAAATCTTGGCACCGTGCCGAGGGCAAGGTCTGTCCGCGGGGTGGCAAGTCCTCCTTTCGTGCTTCCACCCCCGATCGCACTTGACGGTCAGGCGCAGCCTCTGGGGATCGGTCGCACGCGTCGATTGACTCGAAGGCTTCGCTGCGCCCAAAGGGATCGCGAAGAAGAGCGTCCTCTTGTCGTGGGCGCCGTCCCTGCTCTTCCCGCGGCCTACACGGGGTCTGGCGATGGCGCGACGGACGACAGATCTGTCTCTGGAAGCGAAGCGCGTGCATTGCCCGCCAGAGGGGGACCCCGACAGATTGGTCGATCCTTCCTTAGGACCGTTGGACACCTTCTCCCTAGCAAAAGACTGCTGTTCTCACGCCCGAGAAATCCATGGTCGCTCAAGGCGGAGACAAAGACCGGAAGCAGACGAGGGAAACAAATTTCGAACGAACTCCTCACCGCACCTCCAGGTGCTGGTCAAATAGATACTGGAAACCCTGGAAAGGTCCGTTGATGCATTCAGATACCGGACATCCTGGACAGGTCCTTTCGATCGCGGCGGCGGGCGGCGGAGCGAAGCGCAGCGCCGGCAGCATCGCTGAAACTTCTCCGCCGTCGATGTCCACGAAAGCCTCGCACAGCGCGCCCGAGACGCCCACCGTGAACTCCTCGGCGTTGGGCAGCAGGGCAATCGCCGCCCAGGTCGACGCTCGCATACCTGCCGAAGTCGCCCTCGCACGTCGAGGCGTCCAGGAACAGCTCCCCCGACGGAATGAAGCCCTCGAGTCGGCCCATCCAACGCACCTCAGGCGCCCGTGCTGGCATCGCCAGGCCCGCGGGCGACGGCCGCAGCTCCCTCTCGAGCAGCACCTTGACCTCTGGTGGGTGGACCTTGCCGGGCCACCCG